ACGCTCCTGTGTTTCAATTCCTTTCCGTTTCACAGAATTGTTAACTTCTGATAAACTTTGGGAAACTTTTTCCTAATAGTATATAATAATTCTGTTCCATTGAAAAGTAATAAAGGCTAATCAACAATCACCGGCTTTAATGCACTTGAAATCGATTTCATTCAAGTGAAGGTCCACATTTTGAACAACTTTTTCCTATACATGAAACCTTCGTTTTCGAGATATCCTGACGCTAGCATGACTTAATTTTTATTTCATCCGATTTTCTAAATGTATCGTAAATTCGATTGCTACCATTTATCATTATTTTTATACAAGTCGTTTCCCTTTTGATATCTTCGTTATTTTTGCGGATAAGGAAACATATACGGGGAAAAAGTTATTTAGTTTAGAACGGCGAATATCGTGTTTCGTGTTTCGTGTTTTTTTCCTTCAAAGATATCTTGTTTCGACGTTTCAAGTTCATCGACGGTTTGTTTCATAATAACGGGATATTTCTAGCTGACAAGAAATGAATTTTAAACACGTAAATATGTTGATCTCGAAACAACATTGAGTAGACATTTCATGATAATTGCGAGGGAAATAGGAAATTTCCTTATTTTTGCCTAAAATTGTTATTATTTTACAAGAAATTCCCGATATAAGCTCCGTTATTTTCAAGACATTTTCCTATACGACACATATTCCGATACGAATGATTGATCATTTCGTTGCACGTTCGATCATAGTTGGAGAAATGATGTAGTCGCTGTGCATCTACAGAATTTCTGACGGCTTTTCCATACATTAGCACCATTTCTATTTTTTTTTATTGACCGTACACGTCGACGTGAATGAAACGAACAAGATGAAAGAGTTTTCCACTGCTTCAATTAACACGTTGACTCAATTGTGATTGTGTTTCGATTCGTAGGATATTTATAATCGTTACAGATAATAATGCCAGAAGTGTCATCAAACAAGGTTGATGGTACTTAACAATGCAATTTATTGGAATCTCGAAAGCAAGGCCAGTCGAATCCAAGATCTCGTGTAAAATAATAAAATCTTGGTCAAAGGTAAGAAAATGTTCAATTTCTTACTTTCAAATTACCACAAAGTTTCTACCAACGTCATCTCAAGGCAGCATGTTTCAAGTCCATTGTTTATCAACTAAAATAATACGATGATAAAAATATGCAAAGAACTATTTCCTCATACATATTTTATATCTGCACAAGTAACGAAAATATATGCATGCTGCTAAACATACTAGCTCAAAAACTAGGAACTATATGTGATTATAATTAGACTACCTATGGAGGACGTGCATACGTATCTATGATACGTTATCTTATCTGAAACCTCTTTTCATTAAAAGCATTATTTGTGCATTGATCTAAGTGGTTACCTTTACGTGCCGCATCCTATAGATATAATATATTTGGTATATGTATGGAGCGGCACATGAGTCACAGAACGATTCGAATCGAGAGTGACTCATGCCGTTGTTTTGCCTCGGAGTATCAACGCGGTTTTCCATGTGCAAGATTTAAAAGTAAAAAAACTCTGAACAAAACAATATCGCCGCTACGAGCAACCATCAACCGGAATCGAATTCAAACTTTCCGCTACTTCCCCGACCAGTATAAATAGACACTTATCTCGTCATTAAATAAATCAACGCGTTTAATATCCAGCACATGCACATACATATATAATTCGTATTGATAATTGCTAGTGTCATGGATGAAGAAATGAAGCAGACAACGAACCTCCGTAGATTAAATTATAAGCAAACGAAAATTACGTCCTGATTATTAAACGGTAAATTATTTAGTCGCGCAATTGTACTGGCCGTTGCATGTACTTTTATTGACACGATGAAGTATCAGGTTTTAATGAGCACCGAGCCAACGCTTCGACTTCCTAGACATTTAACTTGTACAATTTCTGGAAATTTTAACTATCGGAAAAACAGTGAAACTTTGTCGCGCTTCCTACCTTTGGTAATAAAAACGAAACTTTACGTTTAGAATTTGCACGGCGTTAACGGAACGTTTGTTCTTGAGTTCTTGTAAAAGTTTTATGCCCATTCCAGTGCAAAGTGTATATTTCCTTCTCCAATAGTTTAAACGGATTCAAACGTAATAAAGTTGTTATCCTAGTTATATGCTGCTATATATTGATTTATTAATTTATTCGCGCATTCAACTTTTAATTATCGAAAAGAAATAAATTTGGTTTGCAAAGGTGTGCCGATCGAGAGAATGAAAATTACCGTGTTCACGTAGATACGTATGCGTTAGAATATGGTGAATGAGAAGAGAAAAAATCGCAGAATCTTAAATGTTATAATAACATATAAGGCGTCTCAGCTAATTTTAATAGGTGGGGACGATTCGGAGATTTCAATGTCAACGCCAGCTGTAGTATTTGGAACACAACGCTATATTTTTTGTATAAAAGCATGGGAAGATGTTGAATTCCGAGTAAAACAGTATTGTGCTTCATTAGTTTCAATACGTTAATGTCGCTACTGATTCGTTACTTAGGGAGATTTTCCAAGTGTTGACAACCAATTTTCATGAAATTCATTAGCTTTCGAAGACATTTGATCCATATTTCATTATATCGATGATATTCAGGAGGCGAAAACAGTCCTCAAAGTAGGGCTGAAATTATTCTTAATACCTCGGAAACTCCTTGAAGTACAAACAAATGTTGTATATGAAAATTATTTGTTTTTTAGTGGCAAATTTAATTAGGTAAATTGTTTTTCGAAATGACTACTTATATAAGCATTATACCAAAAATTAATATTTTTTGCTTTTTTCTTTGCTTGATAGTAGAGGATATTTCAAGATACAACATGTTACCTATATCGTTGTAAGATATTGTATAAACTTAAGAATTTTCAAATTCGAAAAAGCTTAAAAGAAAGCTAAAGTTTAAACTCCAAGTTTTAATGAAAATGTTAAAGTACGACGAAAGGCCTTTGATCTTATAAGACGAATACATTGTATAGAAATATCTAATCCGAACGATGAAAAGTGTTAATCGCGAGTATTAAAAATTCCTAAAAGTACGAGTATTTTATGAAGTGCTCGGTTTCATAAAGCTACCCAACGTAGCACAACCTCTTAAATCATCCTGTCGACGATGGTAGTAATTATATTTGGATCACTGGCCCGTAACAACGATTTTCCGGCAAGAGGTTTCTAATGAGAGTAGCAAGTAAGTTGGAATTTATATTGCCCAAGTAATCGGAGAAATCTTTGCTTAAATCATTTTATGGTCAAACACATGAAAGTGTTTGATACCTTATATATCTTACATTTTGACAATTCGAGTAGTATAGTTAAGATTTAAGGTGAGATCAAAGAAATAAATGCAGTACAATTTAAAAGCTACTATTGAAGTATAATACTTGTATCTGATCCTCGCATTCATCTCTCACTTTTCTGTTTTCACGTGTTCCATCCATGATTACGAGTAGTAGCAATTTATGGCTATTCTTTCTTATTGGCATTACTCATCCTTACATTTCTCAAAAGTATCTCGCACTTTTATTTATTACAGATCTTAATAAAATCATCATCAAAATAAAATACATCGTCAAGTTATTGAAATCCAAGTATCGATTAACTATTTAAGTATTTAAAGCATTCTAACAGGTTCTTCTTAGGACACAATGTCATTTTCAAGCTTTTAGTTCTTTCTTAGTCTTCTTTTTAATCCATAGTCTTAGTCTCTGTGTGACTTATCTCACTGACTTGCTACAATCCCGTGTCTTCTTGATGGTGAAAACTTAAATACTGGTTTCGATCAGTCGATAATTACTGATTTCGATCTAAAAACCTAATTTTTAAACGTATCTTTTGCGACATACAGTTTACTCATCGGTACAACTATCCACGACTTATACATACAAGATGCCCCAGCTAAGTTTATCACTTGGAATATCTCGTTTGTCCTTGATAATATTAAAGAAATGTTTCAGGGACAAGACGAATGGTTTCGAGATGGGCATAACTTAACGTGATTAGTTTTTTCGTAAGAGAACGCGTAGAGGACATACAAACGTCTTCGACGTTACTTCAAATGGAATCGTATATTTTTTAATACATCCATCCATTCAACAGGACATTCTGTACAAAAAATTCATTAACTTGTTTACGTCGAGAAACTATTAATTTAACAGATACGTTAACTTTACTTTGTCAAATTCAACGCATGAAAAACAGAGATAACGTAAACGTAACTATACCGTTTTGCGTATTTTCCTATCTTCCGTACATTAAAGTAATAAATAATGCGATTAAAGTGTTTACTTGTTTCTATAATCCATTTTCCGTAAGCTTCCACTTCGATCATTCACTTGCGAAATTTTCGACCCAAGTCATTTTAACACATTGCTTATTGACAGCCTATTAATGGTCTTTAAAATGCCAGCATTTATCGACCGATAGCTTATAAATCAGCATTTTGTTGACTTCGGTTACGGACCGGTAGACTATTAATCCGCTTTTTCTTAAATCTGCCAGAGGCAGTAGTAGAAAAATTGTTAAACACATGCTCGCTCGCGTTGCCAGCAACGATGTTGCTCTACTTGTTTCTTCAAAGTTGTTACAATAATTTTGACCCTCCAAAATGAATGCCAACAACGAAAGAGAGGTACTTTTGGATCATTAGTCAAAGCATTCGTTCAATCGTCAAGCGCTCGTTGGATATTCACTTAAATTACCTCTACGATATACTGACTTGGAAAGCTATAATGATACGGATATCCACATGTTCCGTCCGCAGGAACAAAACGTGAGGATTTTCGTAGGCCACCCAATTTTTAGCAAAGGTTTCTGCGATGCTTTGAGAAGCGCGAAACGATGAGGTAAAGTTTATGGAACATCGTAATCTGCGCCTTAAACGAGTATCGTTTTACGTACTTCTATATCGAGAGATCGAAGCTGTACGGGAGGAGGGAGAATTGAATCTGATTGATAGCGCAACGAACTTACCTTTTGCCAAAGACAGATGCTCGTTAGTTGGAAATCGGCGTCGTGCAGCACTGTTGCGTCGATGCCTTCGTTGGTTCCTTCTCCTTTTCAAGCAGCGTTGCTGTTATCGGTCGACGTGGAATACGATTCGAAGGAGCAAAAATTATGTACTTGTGCGCCCGTTTGTAATATTCACTCAAAGCACTTATCATTTATGCACTTATCACTCGGCAAACGAATATTATATGTATGTGACTGGGTTGATTGTGTTTTGATCTCATCTTCTTTAATGGTAAAGAATATAGATTATTCAAAAGAATGTATTAGCAAAATCGAAAGAAATATGACTCTGAGCCTAATTTCATCCGTCGAATACAGAAATTTTACTTACTATATATCCCAATAGTACACAATATTTTTTATTTAGTCAATGATTGAAATTAATATTTATATTTTTGTCTGAACAAGCCGTATTTAACGAGAGTACATCGATGCCGATCTTCACTGTTTTATTAGCTAGTATAACTCATCATTCTTTAGTTCTGAACATCAACCACCGACTTTGATCTCTGGTTTATTCGCATTTGCTGTGTTTATTTTTATTAATCTTACTTGGGCTACTTTAAAGAACTGGCGAAAATAACGGAATTGATATTACTGGGACATTAAAGTATGACATTTATTGCTTAATTAAAAATGGAAAGTAAATAAAGCACTTGAGAATATTTATACACGTTTCCCTTCAACTGTCTCCAAATTCGTGGTACAGTCGGGCGGGTGATGACGCTAAATGCAAAATTTAATGCTTAATTTTTGAAAAAAGGGAGAAAAAGTAAATTTAAAAATCCGCCAGGCACCCGTGTATTAATTGCATGTTTCGGGACCTGCAACTTCTGTTTTTGCTCGGGTTTGTATTATTAAATCCAAGGTGTACTCCATGAATAGTAATGGCGTAGACGAATTAAAAAGAAACATCGGTTTAGCGTTGGAAGATTTACACAACGCACATAATTTACTACAAGAGACGCATAATAATTTAGTTTAAAGAGCAGACAACATTTCGAACATTTGTTGCATTAATAAAACGATTCCTAAAAAGTACTAATCTTACCCTTATTTATGAAACTATTCCAATAAAATAGAGAATAAAGGAAATTAATAGGACAGATCTATGTGGCGGAAGTCAGGTTATAACGGATATACAGGGTGGTTGGTAACTGGTGGTACAAGCGGAAAGAGGATGATTCTACGCGAAAAAAGAAGTCGAAAATATAGAATAAAAATTTTTCGTTTGAGGCTTTGTTTTCGAGAAAATCGACTTTGAATTTTCACTCGGTACGCTTGCACTTTATCACGTCGCGTTATAACGGATCTCACTGTAGATCGTTGTCTCGATGGAAAAATTAAAAAAAAAATTACAAAAAAAATTTTTATTCTATATTTTCGACTTCTTTTTTCGCGTAGAATCACCCCCTTTCCGCTTGTACCACCAGTTACCAACCACCCTGTATAATAGCAATAATAAAAAGCAAATCATGGCATTGCCTATGTTTAATAATACAAACGTGAACAAAAACAAAAGTTTGATACCTCGGAAGCTGATGAATTTCCAAACTTATCTTTTTCCAAAGCGGAGTTTTAAATGAATTCTTCTTTCTTTGCTTTTTTAAATGAATTATTCTTTTCACTAGGTCGATTGTACTATGATTTTCGGGAGATTGTATTTTCGACGTGTCATCCGATATTTTATTCTATCTTATTCACGATATTAGACGAATGTATGGATTATTTAATGAAAATTCAGCGGTGAATGTTGACTATGAAACGTGATAATATGCAAGTTACACGGTTCGACAATGATGGCACGAGGAACGATTAAAACGACGATGGTGAATACTGTAAATAAAAAAAGAAAGCTAAAGATACATAGCTTATTTTCCGAACTAATTTCCTAGCTCGATCTAAGGATTATCGCGAACCGTGTTGAATACGTATGTAGCTACTTTCCTGAGATTAAAACCCATTTGCATCACGAAGCGTGATATTTCGCGAATAGTGCCTGGCCTGTATTACCAACTTACATATTACGAATCGCGCAATAATCCGCGGGCGAGGACTGACCGATTTCTTAGAACAGAAACAGTTTCTGAATGGGACGTTTGCTATTGTTAGGCCAGCAGACGACGAGCCTGGAAACCCCCCTCGTTCTCGGGGAAAGCAACGAAAACCTGTCAACAGCTACACTCTAGACACTCTGCAGACATGGTCAGGTATTTTCTAACCGGTGTAACAACGCCCACCGGGGTCTGGTGCAATAAATCAGCTACGAGTCGGACGCGCCGCTTGAAAATGCAGGAAACCTCCAGAGCCCGATCCTCGAGGGTTCTTAGGCGTCGAAGTGTCGCGCCTCGTTTACATTTCCGATGCCTTCCCACGCTGCTGCAATTGCTTGGATTGATGTCTCGATTGTCTAGATTTGGCCAAACTCGTGCCACTGTATGGAAAACAGTTTCTCTTTTCCACACTTTTGTCATTTCGGAGACGGCAGAGGGAAACTTCCCTTAAAAGAGACGCGCGTTCCAACCGAAAATCTATCGCAAATATTCAAACTCTTGCGTAAATCTAATTGTCATCTAAGTCTGACTTTAAATTTCATTTTAAATCCAACTACCTGAAATCCCTCTTAAATTCCGCAGTGTCGTTAGAATTTTTCAGATTTGAAATGAAGAAATGCAACGTTGGTTTCCTACTTCATATTGCAACAAAAACGGATCTTCGAAATAATTAGGTTCAAAGTTGTGAAGAAACGAGCCCAGGTAGACCATTTTTTAAAAAGTTACAGCAGTTCGAAAACTGACGATTTCCGGGTCACGATTTAATTTTATGACATAGTGTATATGTTAAATGATAAATAGTATAGTATTAAACATATTGGTTTTTAACTTGAAGGCTAAAGCCATACAGCGGTTATACAGATAGTCGATAGCTTTTTTTAAATTGCACCAAACGACGAGCTTTTTTTAGAAGCTAGAAGGATTAGTTCTGTGGCGGATCGGTATCAATAGAGGACGCCGACAGGTCAAGGCATCAACGCGGCGCAACACCTTCCGGGCGATCCGCTGGTACCAACCGCCAACACTAGAGGGCTACGACGACAACGAGTCCGTCTAACTCGCTAGCGGTCGAATATACGGACGATTGATACAAATACCGTTCCTAGCGAGACTCCCTCTACGTCTAAGGCAGGGACTACCGGGCATAGCCTTACCGACGAGTCCTCCGGTAGTTCCGGGACGAAACGCAAAACTCTCTTTTCATCCGTCACAGTTCGTTAAATAATGCGTAAAAGAAATGTTGAGCAAATTGAAACATCTAGGGAATGGCGATTACAGTAGTAAAAGTCTTTTTATCCGAGCCTGTAGTGAAAATTTAAAAAGCACGTTTTGTAGATTTTATGCCAGTTGTGACAAGTGACAAGCATCGAAAGATGTAGGGATCTTAACTTTAATTTGTTTAAAAATTAATTTTTAAGCATCTTGGATTTATTACCGTTATAGGGTGGGAGACGCGAGAACCATTAGCTCATAGCAACGTTATTCGATGAAATTTTCAGCGTGTATATATTTTGATACAAGTGTTCAACATTTGTTACTTCAATTTCTATTACAAGCCCAAATAAACAAGTTGTGCAAGATGACCTTTACTATTTTCTTTTCCATATTTCAAAATTTCTTTTAGATATCATCTCGTGAGCTAACCCTTCCAGATTCTCGAAAAGGCTGAGGTCGTTTGGTTCGATTTTAAGAAAGTTATTCTATTCTAAACGGTGCACGAATACTTGTCTAACTATGTATAGGAACAAGTTATTCAGAGTGTTTGTTGACTTTCGCACTATATTTCAGGGTCATTGAGGTCGGCAAGGTCAGCCCTATTCGAATTTATACTAAATAATTACTGAATTGAGGAATTCAGAAAGGATAGTCGCTATATATATACTGGTGGAAGCAGCAACGGAACAGTTTGCTGTTTCAGGGTTGTTTGAGCGCTCGATAACGAAAACTAAACAGAAAGGGAAGGAAGAAGGCTGTTCGGCGGCGACGTAACGCGAGAAAACTGAAGAAAGCGTCGGGCGACACGACTCACCGGAACGGGAGCGGCTGTGTTTGCAGAGTTAAGTGACACTAATTGAAAGTTCAATGTCGGCATATTGGTTATAGGCATCGAACACACAATGTCGGGTAAACAGGCGCAGGTAATTCAATCTCGGTCCAACGAGGATCTAATTCGTCCGACGCCTGACTACACAGACCAAATCCTACCTTACATTTCCTCGCGTCGTTAATCGCCTGCGATCCAAAATAATTTTTCTTCCCTTCATACAGGACAGTGAGTATAATTTTTATAGTGATTTGTTGCTTTAATTATATTGAAAATGAATACAGTGTGTTCGAATACAAGGTGTTCGAAAAAGTCGGGACCAGATTTATACTATGTATTAGTGAGTTCAAGTGGGTAACAAGAGTTGACGTTTTTTGACATGTAATTGGAGTAACATGTTTATACGAAGATGTTAATATGTTTTCAAATTTCTACAATCTTCCTCGTCCAGTTGGTGAAAATCTAACGTTTCAAATTTGGTCTCCCCTGTTTCATACAAAATTGAACTTGTATCACTTTCAAAATAATTAATTATGCCATTTTATTTATCAACGAAATTTCAATTGATTAAAAGAAACGAACATTTTAATATTTCAATTATAAACTGTTTATAAATGAAAAGTTCGCGTTAAAGCGTATGTAAATTTATCGTTTCCCCCTTTTCAGTATTTGATTCTGTATAACGAGTCTTAAAACAACTTCCCTCGAAATCTTTGAACATTTATAATTCTTCGATAAAGCATTTTCGGACGTAATATCACATGTACTTCTTTTATCTAGTTGACCTCATTAACACATAAGTTTGTCCCGATCTATCCAGACGCGTTGTGACTCCTCGTCAAAAAGATAACCCATCTATCTTGTGCTATCTTTAATTTCTCAATGACGCATGTAATGTTTCTCGTCTGTAACGTATAATATCAAAACATTATAAGTTCAGAATATGCGGTTCGTTGAAAATAATTAAATATATTATGAGGTTTAGCGTGTAACAAAGAAATACTATTCCATACTAAGGTCGAAATGATAACACACTCTGCTAATATGTTTAGAAATTGCTCAGTAGTTGATGACCTATCAATGAGTAAAGATTACAGTACAATATTATATAAATTTGTAACGAG